ACTATGTGAAATGACTTTAAAATTCAAGAAATGATGTTTGTCAAAGACGTATACTATCGAAAATCAAAATCTATGAACTATTTACTAATCTTTACCAATGAGATATCAAATAGGGGCACAAAAGAACACATAGATAAAGAACACTGACCCAATGTTCCAATACGCAGAAAACAGATTGGCCAAAGTTAAAATTTACATTCGTGCAATTTTCGGATGTTCAACATCCGAAATCAGATGTTGAACATCCGAAAATAGGAAAAAACATTGCTCCAGTTGCAACTAATTTCGAATGTTCAACATCCGAAAATCTTAGAAATTCGGATGTTGAACATCAGGAAAATGGCAAACTTGTCTTTTTTAAAACATGGCGTTATGGAAGATAAAAAACGGATACTTCTGTAATAACGGAAACTATTTGGTGTAACCGTAATAACGTAAATTATAATGGATATGTACGTAATTTTTCCAAATAATAATTCGCCTTTGGCCATTTATGAGTTTTAATAACATGATCCTACAAACAATATTCGACTTGGGACACACATAAAAAGGCCTATCCTCTATATAATCGTCTATTCAAAATGGACGGCCAAAATTTGATTATGAGAGTAGCAAAAGTAGGGGTGGCAATGGAACCAGACCCAACCCAGGACCCGAATGATAAACCTGACCCAAGTCCGGATATGGGTAAAAAAATTAGACCCGGCAGGTGGGGTCTGAGTCCAAATCTTGGACCCGAACAATATTCTAGTCCAGTTAGGTTGGATCCCACATATATTTTCCGGTCCTAATTCAGAAAAAATAGTTAAATATATATATATATATATATATATATATATATATATATTAATTTGTTGGTCCGAACGTGTTTGGGTCCGGTCAGACTCGTAGCCACCCCTAAGCAAAAGATATTGTTAAAGTTCTTAATAACGTTTTAGGGAGTTAATCTTTTTCTAGCGTCTGATCCAAATAATATTGATTTGGAACTTTGAAAATGCACAATATGATTTGGTACGGGCCTCTTAAAATTTCCAAAAAATGGTTAATTAAACATTCATCTGGGCACTTTTTCATCCGTTTGTTCGCTTAGAATGCTCAAATTGCTCCTATTTGGGAACCAATAACAAGCAATAGCATTGTAATATTTTGGTCACTTAAGCAACTTTAGCTAACTGACATAAATACCCTTGCATGTTTCATTTCTTCTTTCCAAACTATTAAAAATCATGTTCAATTTTGGAACCCGAAATTTGGAGGGTTTGAAGTCATTTGGCTCGTGACACTTATGCTAGACCAAATGCCTTGAATTGTTATAGGCTCCAAATCTAGATCAATATTTGGTTTGAAACTAGAATGATAGGAGGTGTTTCGGTCATTTTTAGCCCAAAGTGACTTAAATGAGTTAAATTAATAAAAAGCCCTCCAGTAATTTTTTGTACTTCAAAATTTTTTATCACAAGGTACTTGTACGAAAAGAAGTTTGTAAGAACAACAATATATTTGACAAATTATCAAATTCACTTTGTTTCGGCCAAAGCCTTCAAATTTTAAGCATAAACCGAAGTGAAGAGAAGTGTGGTGCTGCCGCTTTGGTCAGATTCAAGCTGCTTCGGCCTGCTTCGTTTGAAGCTTTGGGCCGCTTCGGTTAGAAAATAATACCTATACAAAAGCATTTTAATTTTTTTAAAAAAACTTTCCATTATTTTTATATGTTTATATATAAATATCTAATTTATTTATATTAAAAAATTTTAAAAATCCGAAGTCTTCCCCCAAATCGATTGAATCATCAAATTGCTTCATTTTTCTCACCAAATCAAATAAGACTCTGAAGCGAATATGACAACATTGGATTTGACCACCTATTTTATTATTTGATGAATTGACTCTTTTGTTTTCCTGTTATTTATTTAGAAAATAATTATACAAGGCACCAGCCTTATACTATAAATAGTGAAAAAACCTTATATTATAGAAGTATGGTGCACATAAATCCCACTAGAGAAAGTTTGTTTTTGGCACTAAAAAACTCTCCAATAGATACCTCGAGATTTACGGATATAGGAAAAAAGAGTTAAAGTCCTAAAAATAGTGTTGTCCTAAGAAAGAGATTTCCAGGCCATCGAGTTTCTGACACCAGAATTGTGTCTTATATCTTTAGGCAAGGTTTGGAGGTGAACCTTACTTCGATTGTTTAAGGTTGATGCTTTGTATATAATGCAAACTTTACAAAAGAAAAAAAGTTTATACAAAGTGTTAATCTTAAAGTAAGATGCTGTCATTGATGCTATAAATAAGTTTCTAATTGATCATCTCGACCTTGACTACATGAACATGTAAATTTTTTTTTCAAGTATTTTAAATTAATACCTATTACAACATATTATCTAAACCATTTATTTTTTAAAAAAATTAAATATTCATATATCTATGTTAATTTTTTTTAAATATTTATAGATCTACTCAATGGAACATAATAACATAATAATATATGGTGACATATAGTTTAATTTGATAATATGAGACTTTTGATTGAGCAAAATGGTGTAATAAGATTCCAAGTATGGCATTTTAGATTTTCGTGTTCAAATAATAATAAATTGGTAAAAGTTTATATAAGGTTGGAACCTTACCTCTACAGCTACGGATGCACCTCAAAACTCCATCCAAAAAGATAGTTTTAATGTTGAAAAACCCTTTGATTGATCATCTTGACATCGAGATGTATGACCATGAAAAATAAAACGATTTTAAGTCTAAAAACTAGTGCATTTTATAACATATTATCTATACTGTCCATTTTCAATATTTTCATATGTTTATAGATCTACTTGATTTTAATTATTTTTTAAATTTAAAATTTTATAATAAAATATAAAAATAGATTTTGAGATAATCTTAAAAACATTTTACATCAAAATTACACACCATCATAAAATTTGAAAGTGCACCGAACCTTGCCAATTGCAACCTAATAAATTTATGGGGTTTTGCAACATTAAAAAAAAAAGTTTGGGGTTTGGCGACATCAAAATTGTACGCCTCCATCAGGACTTGCACGTGTATCTTGTTTCGATCGATTCTTGTCAGACCTCTTAAAAAAGGTTCCGGTTTTTATGTGTCCCCCGACTATATTATTTTCATGTGGGTCCCTTGAATTATTTGTTTCGATCTTGAATCCAAATTTATAGTGATCCATGATCTCACTATGATGATCATAAATATAAAAAATGTAATATAATAAATGAAAAATGAGAATATTATTATTTAAATTTTTTCCTATCCATTGGATATAAATATTTAGTTGTAGATGTTCATCTTAAATATAGACGTTTGTGATTGTGCAGGCTAATGAGTTTGGTGACCCATAAAACACTTTTATAAAAAAAAGAAAAAAATATATATATATAAAGTTACTCTTTTAAATATAAAATTAAAAATGCACCTCAAAGATCTATCATAAAAAGTTTGTTTGGATGTTAGAAATCCCTCTAATTAACCATTTAATATGAAAAAAAAAAAAAATTTCAAGCCTGCAGCATAGTATACATTACAATTAAAAAAATATATTAAAGTATGCAAAATAGTATACATTGCAATACTGAACCGTTCAAGATTTTTATGTACTTAGAGGTCTATTTGATTTGTATCATTTTAAAAAGTTTAAAATTTTAAAATTGAGATGATAATAGATTTTCAGCTATCTTTAGAACTTTTATATCAAAATTATATTTGTAATGAAATTTAGAGGTGTATCCTTATGCAAACCCCACGTGGCACCCTTATCTTCCATGGTTGTTTGAAAATATCAAGGACCTTGTGTAAATTATTGATTCAATGACCTCAGTTATTGTGTCAAATGATTTGACTATTCTAAATGATATTTTTCTAATTATTTATTTACTATTTTATTCTGGCATCTACTGCACCTTCGAAAGACTAAAAATTTAACTTGTAAACCACATAACTTTTAATACTAAATTAATACTATTTTTTTTTTAAATAAAATAAATTAAACCACAAGTGGCGTGAATTATGCTACTACGTGTCTTGTCAGAGTCGCGAGATTCACGATGCGCATTTTTAATAAAACTAATATAGTCCCACGCTTGACCATCGTAGTCCATACTATTGATATATTATGTCTCTCTTTTTTTTTTTTTTTGAGAAAATATTTATATAAAGGTGCTATTTTATAACGTAAAACTATCGATGTTTCTCAAAAATCCATCGAAAAAGGTAGTTTTAATGTTGAAAAACCCTTTGATTGATCATTTCGACATCAGCCCCTCAAAAATCCATTGGAAAAGGTCATTTTAATGTTGTAATTGATCAATAAGTCTTATCCCAACTATTTAGAGTTAGCTAGGGAATTATGTTTTGCCATTCTCCTCTATCAATGGTCATACCTCAATGAGCTCATAAGTCTCTATATCGAGGGCTTTTCCCATGCTCTTTTAGAGTCTTCTATTTGAAACAAATCCTACCTCCCCTAAATTAGTCACCCTAAGTTCAATCGAATTCTATTACTTATTATCTTGCCACTCATCCATCAGAACGTTCTCATATTTGTTCTTGTATCTCATCCATCTCAACATTCTCATTTTAGTTACACTCGTCCTATGTATATCTTATTTTTTCGCTACCCAATATTTTGTCCAATAAAGTAAAACCGGTATCATAGCAGTAGTATAAAACAATAAAGTAAAACCGATTTCTCTTTCAACTTCATTAGTATGGGGCGATGGCGATCACATAAAACTCTAAAGGTACGTCTCTAAGCCGTCCAACTTTAAATTCTCCCAAGCGGTTTACAAATCTCCAAAGGGACCACACTACATGGCTCTACTAAGAAAAATATAAGCAAAACAATAAATAAAATAAAAAAATTGTTGCCTCAGTCCTGGATTAGCGAACCCTATCCTCGGCCGATTGTTGCCCTAAGCTCCTGCCATCGAGGCACCGTCATGCACTGTACACACCGCTTTCCTTCCCGCTATAAAACAAACTGTCTCTTCGAAGGAGCCCAACAAATCAAGAGACACACTCTCTCTCTCTCTCTCTCTCTCTTCATTTTTCGCCATTTCTGGATCCAAATCCACGCTCTCTCCAGTCTGGTGCGACAATGAGCTGGTGGTGGGCTGGGGCGATCGGCGCAGCCAAGGTGAGAAAAACCCCAAACTCGAACCCTAATCATCCCTTTCTTTGTTGCAAAATGCTCCTCTCTCTCTGAATCTGTTTTTACTTTCTTAGTAATCAATTAAAGAAAATCCAGCTCCCTAATGAAATCAACCCACTTTTTCTGATTCGTAATCCCTTTCCTGACGTTTGATTCAATCCTCTTTTTGTTTTTGTTTTTTTTGAAGGATTCAGTCACTTTTCTTATTGCGTCAATCAGTCTAAACCCTAATCTCGAATCAAATCGACCTCCAAAGACTCAAGGTGTTTATCCCCATAAAAAATTTGCAAACAATCAATTTATCTTACTTAAAATTGCTTGATTTTGCAGGAGAAGCTCAACCTTCTCTCCTATCTATTCCTTTTCTCAAAGATTCAAACTGAATAATCCTATTTTCTCAATAAATTTCTAGTGAATTCATTTTTCTGACTGAAAGATGCTCGATTTAGAAGAAGATGGATTCTTCCTTAACGATTTCTGAATAATTATTTTTTCAAAATCTTTAATAATTTTGAATAATTCGTTTTTCATCACTGAATTGACCCTTTTCCCTGTAACTGAATTTAACCTGTTTTCCTGGTTGGATTTTGAATGAATATTCTCATATTATAGAAATTTGCTATTTTTGCAGAAGAAGAATGATGAAGACGAGGGCCCTGTCAAGTACCAGAGTGTCGCCCTTGTGGTTGGTGTGACGGGCATTGTGGGCAACAGTCTAGCTGAGATCCTCCCACTCTCCGACACCCCTGGTGGTCCATGGAAGGTCTACGGCGTTGGTCGCCGCCCGTGCCCCAAATGGTCTGAGGACCACCCCATTGAATACATCCAATGCGACATCCTCAACCTCGAAGAAACCACTGCCAAACTCTCCCCCCTCACCGACATAACCCATGTGTTCTATGTTACCTGGGCTGATCGCATCTCCGAGGCCGAGAATTGCGATGTCAACGGCCACATGTTTCGCAATGTGCTTGACGCCCTCCTCCCAAATGCCCCCAACCTCCAACACATCTGCCTGCAGACTGGCCGCAAACACTACCTCGGGCCATTCGAAGCCATCGGTCATGTGAAGCCCCACGAGCCACCGTATCAAGAGGACGTTCCGCGTTTGCCATGCCTCAATTTCTATCACACCCTCGAGGACATACTTTTTGAGGCGGCAGAGAAGAAGGAGGGGTTGACATGGTCAGTGCATAGACCTACTGTGATCTTTGGGTTCTCGCCTTATAGTTTGATGAATCTTGTTGGAAGCTTGTGTGTTTATGCTGCAATTTGTAAGCATGAAGGCTTGCCCTTCCGCTTTCCGGGGAGTAAAGCACAATGGGAGGGGTTCTCCGATGCGTCAGACGCCGATCTTATCGCTGAACAGCATATATGGGCGGCGGTCGACCCGCATGCAAAGAATGAGGCGTTTAATTGCGCGAATGGAGATGTTTTCAGGTGGAAGCAATTATGGAAGATTTTGGGTGAGCAGTTTGGGTTAGAGTTGGTAGAGTATGAAGGGAAGGGGTTTAGTCTGGTTGAGGCTATGAAGGAGAAGGGGCCTGTTTGGGACACCATTGTTAAGGAGAACGAGCTCTCGGAGACAAAATTGCAGGAGGTGGCGCAATGGTGGTTTGCCGATGTCATGCTCGATAATGAGGGGGTGGGTTTGGATAGCATGAACAAGGCCAAGGAGCATGGATTCTTGGGGTTCAGGAACACACTGACTTCATTCTCGTCGTGGATCGATAAGATGAAAGCGCATAAAATTGTCCCCTGATCTCACTTTGCAAATCTCAGTTTGCAACAAATATGTCGATAGATGATGGCGTATGGATGAATGGATCGGGAAAATATATTCTGTTTTGGAATCTTGTCTCTGTTACTGTTTGATCGTCAGCTAAAACAGTGTCTTCTTGTTACCTACTTCATGCATTTTCTCTGTCCCTGTGAAATTTGTTGTGGTTGATTTGTTTGGTATTGCAATCCTGATTAGAGAAGAAGTGCAATTTGGTTTCTAAATTTCTTTTGACTAAATTGTCTGGAATTGCATTGCCCTGATGGAAGTATGTTGGGTTCTAAACTTTGTTTGATTAAATCTCAATTGTCATGAGAGAAACTTGTAATTGGCTTTCTTTTCTCTACGATTGAGTCTTGAATTAGTTCAACCCAATATTAGAGGATCGCCTGCCAAGGTACTCCTCCCCTGAGTGGAGGTTATATTCAGCCAAGAAAATATAAAATAGTAAAAAAAAGGTACAGGATTTTTACAAATAGTTAAAAATCCTAAAAACTTGGAGAGGTAATGGAATTCTTTAGAAAACTAAAGAAGATGAAAAAATCCATAAAAGATAGATTATTGAAAACATTGGTTTATGCCTTTTGAGTAATGCAGAAAAATTAAAAGTAAGGAAAATTTGTGAAAGCTCTCAAATCATCTCAAAACTATCCAAATCATCTAAAGATTTAATTCTAACTACTATAATGGTATTCTCTAATTTTTTACATTTTTAGCAATTCTTTTATATTTTTTAGTAGGTTTTTGGTTGCTGGCTAGTTGCGCACCTAATTCGCCCACCACTATGGCAAGGCCGAGCTACTCGGCTGAGTCTGAATGGACTTGGCAGAGTCCTCAAATGCTGGTTGAAACTTCGCGTCGAAGCAGCCCTTAAATGCCTCAAGAGTACCTGATGGATTCATGTTAATGTAAATCTTGTTGAATGGATTTTTGAAAATCATATAATTAATTTTAATATTACATGAGAGGCTTAATATGTTAATGGGTCCACTATTGCACGTCGGTGGTGCCCATGAAGTACCACCTAAAGTGGCACACCCCACCTTAATGAAACTTTAGTCGTGTTAGTTCAAGCTTTGGCTTGAAGAGAAAGCTCTGAAGTGTTTTGAAAAGATTTTGTCTTGAGGAATCTTTTAAAAGATTTTTAAAAAACATGAGAAGGCTTGTGTATAATTTTTTGTAAGCACTGTATTTTGAATGAAATTATTTTATTTAATTTCCATTATTGAGAAATGGTTTGGAAATGTGAGATAAATGTTTTATCACCTTCCATAATGTTGATGACCCATGAAAGATTCAAATCTTTCACCCCGGAAGTCACCCAACATCAATGGTTCATATTCAATTTTACAAAAAGAGATAAGCCAAAAAAACCCTTGTTCAAGCATTATAAAAAGTGGATTGATCCCTACCCAAATCTTTCCGCCTTATCTCTTACCTTTAATTTCCATCTCTCTCTCACATCACTATAAAAAGTGGATTGATCCTTATCCAAATCTCTCTGCCTTATCTCTTACCCCTAATTCCCATCTCTCTCATATCCTGCAAAGGGATGCACCCCACTTAGAATATATCTCTCTTAAAAAAAATTTCTCACTTCTTAAAAAGGTTTTTGTTTCTCTCAAAAGACCCAAAAGGAGATGCTCCACTCTCTATCTTTGATATCTTTCTCATGGTGGTTCTCTCAACTTTGTCATTATCTCTCATCTCTCATTGGGGTTTTAGACTGTAGGGTTGTGGTAGAAAAGAAAATTACTTCTCTCAAACTATATTGTTAAGATGATTCACCTAATGGTTTGAGATCCCACTCCATCGGTTGGTGGTTATGCGGTGTGGGGTGTAATAAGGCTGGTTTAAATAATATCGGATATACTTTTTTTTTTTGTCATATTTAATTATATTATCTTTATATTTTTAAGGATAAAAATTGTATATATATTTTTTATTTTAAAAAAATTGATTTAATATTTAAGATAGTAAATTTGTTAGTTTTATTTTTATTTTGGAAAGCGAAAGGCTTTCAACCACAAGCACCCACCTACTGGTCAATATGATAAAAACAGAAAGTGGAACCACCCGGAAAAACCCCTCTTCCAAGCATCCTCTCTGGTCACTGTTAGAAGGAAACAAATAAGTTTACCTTGCTTGAATAACCTCAAGTTGGGGAACCAGACCAACTGAATTGATTGGATCCATGTCAATTACTCACTTTCGAAATTTCTACACTCCCCATGGAGCCAATTCCGATCTATCAACCCATGCATCAGAGCCCAAGGTGCCTGGCCTTCTTCTCCCCATGCTGAAAGCATGCAGTAGCATGGGGGAACTTAAGCAAGCTCATTCTCTAATGATCAAGAATGGTTTGGCCCAAGACCATTTCTTTCTTGGTCGCCTTCTCTTTTTTACTGCTCTCTCTGAACATGGCAGCCTACACTATGCCGGCTTGGTCTTCGATAGCATCGACCAACCTGATGCATTTCTTTATAACTCTCTCATCAGAGCCTACTCACAGAGCACTTCTTTCGGAGAACATGCAATTCTACTCTATATTCAAATGCGGAATGAAGGGATTTTTCCAAACAATCTTACATACCCATTTGTGCTTAAAGCATGTGTGGGTGGATTGAGAATCGAGGAAGGGAGGCAGGTTCATGGCCATGTTTTGAAGACTGAATTCGAATCTGATATCTTCATAATTAACATGCTTCTAAGCCTCTATGTGAAGGTGGGAGACTTGGATGGTGCACGTCGAGTGTTCGACAAAAGCCCCAACTTGAATTCAATTTCGTGGAACACTTTGATAAATGCGTATGGAAAAAATGGTGATATATGTACTGCTCGCCAACTTTTTGATAAATTACCCCAAAAATCCATTGTTTCTTGGAACACTATGTTGTCTTTGTACTCGGAAGGCGCAGAGATTGACATGGCGTGCAAGTTTTTTGAGGAAATGCCTGAGAGAGATGTGATCTCTTGGAACACATTGATGACTGGATTGGTGAGAAATGGTCGGCACAAAGAAGGTCTAGAGCTTTTCCATTCAATGCAAATTTCATTGACGACTCCTGATCATGGCACTTTTGTCATGGTCCTCTCAGCTTGTGCTCATTTGGGGTCTCTAGAACGAGGCCAGCAAATTCATGCCCACATAGCAAAGAATAACATCAAAGTAGACGTAGTTTTGAGCACCGCTCTCATAGATATGTATGCAAAGTGTGGTGACAAAGAGAGCGCAAAGCAAGCTTTTGAATTGAAGGATTGTAGCAGAAGGGGTGTAATGGCCTGGACGGCCATGATCTCAGGGCTAGCCATGCATGGCCATGGAAAAGATGCCCTCCAACTCTTCTCAGAGATGGAGTCTGAAGGCATTAGGCCAAACGAGATCACCTTCATTGGTGCTTTAAGCGCGTGTAGCCATGCAGGGCTAGTCGAAGAGGGTAAACGATGTTTTCGCCTTATGCAGGAGTATAAAATCGTGCCCATGATGGAGCATTATGGTTGCATGGTCGACTTGCTTGGTCGAGCTGGGCTCTTGTGTGAGGCTGAAGAGCTCATCCTAAGCATGCCCATGAAGCCCAACATGATAATATGGAGTGCGTTACTTAGTGCGTGCAGAATCCATGGTGATTTAGAAATGGGGGAGCAAATCGGGAAAGGCTTGATCGAATCAGAACCAAATCATACTGGTCTTAATGTGCTACTAGCAAATATTTTTTCAGCATCAGGTAGATGGGGTGACGCAATGAAGATCAGAGAGAGGATAAAGGGTAAGGGAATCCGAAAACCCCCAGGTTGCAGTACTATCGAATTGAATGGTGAGGTTCATGAGTTTGTTGCAGGCGAGAGCTCTCATCCTCAGGCAGAGGAGATATACAAAAAATGGGAAGAGATATACCGGGAGCTCAAATTAAGTGGGCATGTCCCGAACACTGCAAGTGTTCTTTTTGACTTGGGGGAGGAAGAGAAAGAAACTTTGCTTCATCAACACAGTGAGAAATTAGCAGTGGCCTTTGCTCTTATGAATACAAGACATGGAAAGATAATTCGGATTCTGAAGAACCTAAGGATGTGCAAAGATTGCCATTCTGCGACGAAATCAATCTCAAAGATTTTTGATCGGAGGATTATAGTAAGAGATCTTTTTCGCTTTCACGATTTCAAGGATGGAAGTTGTTCTTGTATGGATTATTGGTGAAGGGAGGAATTAGCTTGTACACTAGTCTAATGGTGAAAATGGAGGACGAGAAGCACATTGTGATGAAAGCAATGCGATTGTAGCTAAATAAATGGGACTGTATAATGCTACATAACCATTTTTTTAGCTAAATAAATGGGACTGTATAATGCTACATAACCATTTTTTTTTGGATCAAAGAGCCACAATCATCTTTTAGTTGTCGGACAATAAATCTAACAGCTTGGTATTTGTTACAAACTTTTGACTCTTTGGTTTTGAACTTTTGAGCCTAGCACATGGCACACCTCATGCCACCTCATTTCATATCTGCAGACAAGAGCAATTATGAGCGCCTTATATAAAGGATAAATGATCTTATTGCCTACTTTTCCTGAAACTTAAACCTCTCTCTCCCTCTAAATGTTCATACACCATTGCAACTATAAAATTCCTCTCAATCAAAAGTAATTCCATGAATAGTAATCTTAATATAAGAAATAAAGTTTGACTGGTTGTTTCCCCAAAATGAGTGTAGACAAAGATTTTAAATAACTAGGACTCCATTGAAGCAAAAAGCATAACCAAAGAACAATACATTGGCACATTTTAGAAAACAAATTTGTCCGTATTTCATATAATGGAAAATATATATATTTTTACAATGAATGGGTTCGTGAGAAACTCCGGGGACTTTGGATAGCCATTACAATTTACTCTGAGTTGATATGCAGACCTAACACTCCCTCAGGCAATAAGCACTTATATATATCGAGATTCAGTCCCTATACCACTCTCCCTATACCACTCCCTCATTATAACAGGGTTCATTTGACTAAACCTTGGGAGAGGGATTATTCAACCTATATATGATATTCTCAACAATCTTAGATCAATTTTCAAATATTGAGGATAGGTCCGTCGGTTAAACCTGTTTCAATTGACAACGCCTGTTTCAATTAACAACGGATGAAGATATCCTATTGTCCAAATTTGATGATTTTCAAATTGAAGCCATATAAGGGTGTGACTTGGAAAAAGTTAGCAACTTTATTTGTAGAAATAAGGTTGCAATGCTCTAAACATCCATTTTATTTAGACAGTGTAGATTTGACACATTTTAAAGATAATATCAATACATGTCATGACTTTTAAAATAGAGTAGTGATACAATGAGACCCTCCCGCACCTATGTGAGTAGGACTCCAAAAGATCACCATTAAATTTTGACATAGATCTCTAGAAAAGTTATCTCACACCCATATGATAACTTTTATAGTGTGTTAAAATTTAATGGCGACCCTTTGGGGTCCTACTTACATAGGTGTGGGAGGGTCTCATAGTATCATTACTCTTTAAAATAATGTCCAATTTACACTATCCAAATAAAATAGATTTTGTTGACTAATGCGACCTTATTTTTACAAATAATGTTGCAACCTTTTTAAAACTTTTTAACCCATTGTTGGTATTTATAGAGTTTCATCTCAACATGATATGACTTGATGAGGTTTCTATGAGTTCGGCCGTTAGGGTCCTTTTAATTGACGGAGTCTCTCAAAACCTGTCAACTTATATCCAAACTTCACAAGTATGAAATTGAGATTCACATTATGGTTTATCAGTCCATAGTTTGGTCCGAAATCAAGATATTTATGACAACCTCTAAGTGTGAAACAGTTAAATTGATCGACTATAGAACTTTCAAGGCATACAAGACCTTGGATGGCGAGTTCCTCTTATATTAGTCATCTGATGTGATATTTGAGGTATTTCTGCATAGATAACATTGACCTACCATTCTTAAGGTCCTTTCCATTAAACTTGTATGTGTTTGATGACATTTCAATTCACATGTTGAAACTAATCCCATCACTTGGTTTGACATATTTTATTTTAGATTGAGTGCCTAAAAACTACCATCACCACCCGTCAAAACTGGTTGAACATTAATTTTTACATATTATCAACAACATCAAGTTTTGTTATGGACCACTATGGCCATCGATTGACCGATGGGCTCGCGCAGGATTACTACGATAACAATTTAACAATTATAAACAAGTGGTGAGTAGCTTTTAAACTAAAAAAATTAATTTTTGTTTAAATTAAGATTGAATGTTATTTTTCTCATTCTCCTCAGTGCAACTCACCTGCCATTCTCCCATTCTCATAAAAAAGTGAAAGAAAATCACCTGCCATTCCTAGTTGAAAAAGGAGAGGGAAAAACGCAGAGCAAAAGATAGTGGGTCGCCTTCTCTTTTACCAACCCAAGGGAAAGAAATGGTCCATGCCATAAGGCCATCTGTCTCTCTCTCTTCCCAAAAAATGAAGTCGAATGGCCCCCAAAAGATACTGGGTCGCCTTGAGCAACCGATTTAAGGGGCACCTCAAAAATTCACTGGAAAGGGTTGTTTCGATATCGGAAAACTCTCAAATCTGATTATCTCGCCATGAAATACATAGACGTAAAAAGAAAAATGGACTTTAAATATTGAAATAGTTCATTTGTTATAAGTTATTTGAACCGCCAATTTTTAAGATTTTCAAATGTTCATAGATTAGCTTGATCGATACTTTCTTGAAGCTTTAAATTTTATAATTAGAGATGAAAATAAATTTTCGGACCATCAAAAATATTTCTGGTACCAAAACAACATCTTTCGATATTATTCGAAAGTACGTATTACTTTGATTGTTTAAGGCCTCAGTCTTATACAAACCACACCCAGTATGTATTCTTCTTTTAACAGGATTCAATAAAAGAACCAGCCCAAGAAACTAAACGAATATACACAGGCACATCAAATACAACTACAACAAATATGAACAAACTAATGTACATCATGGATGGAACAAGTGGGCGATATTTTGCTGCCACTGATAGAGCAAACATGAGAGATTGATTTGAACCAATGCTACAGGAAGGTTCTCTCTCTCTTTACCTAAAAATCTGGTCTGATCTCCTTCGCTACACTCAAGGTGGTAGAAACAGGAACCAAACACATGCCTCTACTCCTTAGATCTTGCCCTTTCTCCTCCAAATCCCTAGCTCTTTCAGGTGTTCTGCCATGGTTCTTTTGGTCAGAAAAAAATTGAACTGTTAGAGAGAGAAACTAAGGCAACGCAATAAAGGACAAATGACCAAAATCTTGTTGCTTTGTAATGAAATTCGCTAATATGCTTACTGTTTCAAAAACAGTAAACAAATGTTGGTTCTCCTCAAAGCTAGTCAGTACATAGCTTTTGCTTTGGAAGGGTATTCATGTGAATTTTACCAAAGGGTGAGGTTTGAATAAGGTGCCACCTTACAAGTAAGGTGTACCTTTCAAGTTTTGCAGGATGATGTATTTTCCGTGTCAGAAATCTTCCAATGGTTTAAAAAAACCATGTTCAACTCTTAACTATGAAATTTAAAACTCCAAATATGATGCCATCGAGCAATCTATAAATACTTGAAAATAGCCGATCAAGATAATTTGTTACAAGATGTACCATTGTAGAACTTGAACTTTTATTTTTTTTATATCCATACAACTTGAGATCGAGGTGATCAATTAGAACATTTTTTAACTTTCAGAGTACTCTTTTCTATTATATTCTTGAGGTGCACTGTACTTCTATAGTATAAGGAAGTAACTTTATATAAAGGGAAAAGTTTTAATAAGGTTGCAACCTTAAAATGTAGAATCATAGATGCACTTCAAAAATCTATCAGAAATGTTGTTTTAATGTTGAAAAAACCCTCTAATGGATCATCTCGACATCAAGATGCATGAATATGAAAAAAAAAATTTCTTGAGTAACGAAAATAGTGCATCTTGCAACACATTATATAGACCGTTCATTTTCAAGATTTTTATATATTTATAGATCTACGTGATTTTAACCATATTGGATTTAAAAATTTCCTAATTAGGTATGAAAATAGATTTTAAGATGATGCTAAGAATTTTTTACAACAAAATTACATGTTATGATAAAATTTAAGGTGCGTCTTAATTGGATGTTTAAAGTTACAACCTTATAGAAACCGCACCCTTATATAAATTTTCCTCTATAAAAATCACAAGCACAAATGTATGATTTTCATTTGAGTGAAAATAGGCTGGCCGGCCCGGTCTAGCCATATATAACATTGGAGCGGGCTCCTGATTTTGGTCCGTAGATCAGGCCTAGAGGCTGGACGGGGGAGTCTGGGCCTGGACTAGAAGTCAATAATATTTTGAGTGGATTATTATTGTTATGTTTTTCAAAGACTAAAAATGATTCTTTTGTATTCTTGAAATTAGAGTGGTTTTATCTAAACGGGAGGAAATATAGTTGAAACTCTGTAATCCTCCTCATTAATGTCCAAGAAAAATACCTATGCTGCTTTTATTTTTGACAAAAATTTGCATCTTTGAAAATTAAAACTCATGCTCCTAACTATAGTGACTTTAACGAGCAAAAGGGTTTGCCTGAGAATTCCAGATAATTTGGGGGGCATTTTGGATACATAAAAAAAGGGTAGGAATCCTTCTTTTACTTTTCAAAAGAAGAGTTCCTTAAGGAATAACTATTCCAACTAAGGGTTGGGGATCCTTCCCCATGAAACTACAAAAAAAAAGAAAAAAAAAAGAAAAGAAAAAAAAAGAAAAAAAAAAAAGAAAAGAAAAAAAAGGAAAAAAAAAAAAGGAAAAAAAAAGAAAAAACAAAAGAAAAAAAAGAGAAAGAGTTCATTAAGGAGGAGTCAATGCCTACCAGCCTCATGTATGGATGGCTCAATACCTGCAAAAAGCGCACAGTGTTCACTTGAGTAATTTCTAACAGCTAAACTACCAAAGTGTCCTCACTTGTTTATAATTCAAAACTCAGGCAATTTGAATATTTTCTAACAAAATTGACGAGCTACAAAGGTGAAATTATTTTTAAAAAGTCACTATTTTATTGGTAAATTAGTTTATTTTGACCATCTCATTCATTTTTTGAGGCTGTTTGACCATATTACTATATTATCATTCTAATCCTAATCCTTAATAGTATCCACCACTTGAAATGACAACAATCCAAATTGGAATTATGTGGGGTTTTAATTTTTAAACATAAAAAATATTATTTAATTTTTTCTGGACAGATTCCCTCACCAAATAATCTTGTCCGATTTGACCTCGATTAGCAATTTGGATTTACATCTATTCAGGTTTTAGAAACAGTGACAATATCATGAGGGGTTAAAATTTCATGAAATGGACAGTGAGTGCTTAAATTTTCATGAAATTGAGAATGGAACTTACGGCAATTTGATCGTGGAGAAATTTGATGTACTTAATTGTGTCGAGTAAAACAGAAGCTGTGTCAGTCTGGGGAGAAAAATGAAGAAAAATGATTAACATTATATTATAAGCACAAGGGTACGAAAGGTTTTGTGCAGTAAAATTTAAGGGAAACTATCATAAATATCTTTCAAAGTTCTAGATATTACCAACATACCAAATTCTCCCAATTATTTACACTCATACCCATTTCCCCCATTTTTTTTTTCCTTTTCTGCCACTGCCACGTATCTAACAAATCTGTGTTACCTCTTACCACTTTCAAACACTTTTGAGGCCTCCAAGATGGTGTGGATTGCATTTCCCTCACCCTCCGGAGCCCTTAGGAGGGTGGTAGGCTTTAGGCACTGCCAAAGGCCTTTAGGTCTATGACCTAATAGGTCCTTGGTGGTGACTTCATCCTCCATGCCTCAGGAATCGTCACGGACTTGTTAGGTTTGTGATGAAAGCGCCACAGACTTAGTTGTGGCCTCACTCTAAAATATGGAAATATGGGTATGAGTGTATTAAATGGGAGATTTTGGTATATCCAAAAATATAGAAGGCATATATTTCTGATAATTTTCAAAATTTAAAGTTATCTTTTTTCTATAGGGACCACAATTTTGTCTAAAACTTTCCATAGGGCTAGTTAAGATAGATATTATAAGAAAATTTTAAGCAAGTGGGAACATTACTGAAATTAAAAAGAGAAAGATAAGAGCTTCGAAATCTACCTTACCGAATGGTGAAACCAATTGTTGCAGAGCAGTGATTCTGTCTCCAAGTTTCTCCTTTCGGACCTGAAAGACAAGTTTAATGATTTGAAGTTTCAAATTTCCATGTCATTTTTCTAGTAAAATGTCAAAGAACATAGGAGTCACTCTCCACTTTAAAAAGAAAAATGCAGAACATAGCTTTGTGGCTTGGAGTGAGTCACTCACATGAACCTGTCTATTACCTTCTATATAGAGCAATGGCAATGTTCCACCCACAAAGGTATCTTCTACATTTTTCTTTTTATTTATTTTTTGAATTTTCTTCCATGTCAAAGAGGATTTAGAATGAGGGGGGGTATGGTAAAGAGATATCAATAATGTTTGGCAAAATTTTATAATACATTTTGTTTGGGTATATAGTCACTTTTAGCTTTAAAAAATGGGATTGTCTACTAACAGACTATTTATCTTTTGTACATACAGGTCACAATCTTTCTTGTCCTTTAAATTTCGGAGGGTACGATTTTTATAGAGTCTAGGCTTTAAACAATCAAATTAGAGCCTACCTTCAAATAGTGTCGAGAAATGTGGTTTCAATACAAGAAATTTTTGTGATGGCCTTAAAATATATTTTTATCTTTATTTATAAAATTTAAATCTTCAAAAATAGATCAACAGATCTATAAAAACTTGAAAATCTTGAAAATTGATGGTTAAAAAATGCGTCACAAAACACACCATTTCTAAAACCTGAAATTCAAATTTTTTTTTCCCATGTTCATGCATCTTGATGTCGAGGTGATCAATTTGAAGATATTTGGGCATCAAAACAACCTCTGCTAGCAAAATTTTAGAGGTAGACTCTAATTTGATTATTTAGAGCCTCGACTCTATATAAACTTTTCGCAATTTCAAAATAGAGTGTCATTGATTCAACACAAAATTCCAAAAAAGTTCTCGGACTTCGTGACTCACCTCAAGCCATCTTGCTTAACATCTAATGAGGGAGTGCCTAAGACAACATTATATAAGCTTCAAAAAAGAAAAGGCCAAAAATGTCAGGGTGGGGAGATTATTTTAGGAGGGGACTGGGATAGCTAGTACTGACAACTTTTCAGAACTAGTTTGGTCTCTCCTGATTCCTGATCTGAATGGATGGATCCCGCCTTGGATAGATGGGATTTAAAACACTACTTTAAAGGGTTGGTTTGAGACTCCATGATTCCATTGATTATTATGATCCATTAGTGATTGTTGTCTTTTAAATTTTGTATTTCTTTTAATGCTTAATACAATATTACGATTAAGTACAAATAGTATGTTTATTTCACTATTGGCTCTAAGTTTCTAATCCTAGCGTACCTTCCCCACAAAAATAACCAAGTACGTTATGTTATAAAATCCGAGGGAGAGAGATGAATTACGTCTTTCCATAACAAGTATTTTAATTTTAATTTTAATTTTTTTTGGTAGTTCAGCAGTAGAAAGCGAACTTGAGATGCTAATCACTTGAGACCAAGCCCAATTCATATTAGAGGTACACTTTTTTTAAATGAAAGTATTTTTTCAAACCAGAAAGTAAGCACACCCAAAGAGATTTTCCCATGTACTTTTGCAACTAAATAGGTGGTGCTTCGCTTTCTCTCAAAATTACATGGTTTGCAGAGAAAACGCTTTATAATTAGGGATTATCTTTAAAGAGATTGTTTATATTTTGTACAAGGAGTTCATAACTATATTAGATGTCAAATTGGTTGACTTGGGGTGAGTCACAAAGTTCTAGAGTTTTTTGTTTTGAATTTTGTCTAATCAATGACATTCTTACGACCATCCATTTTGAAATCTAAAGGACAAGAATGATTGTGATCTCTTTATACAAAAAGTAAATAATTTCTAATCCCAATTAATTATCACTTTCTCAAAAGATAAACATGAAAGCCCAACGAAAAATAACTTTTCACAAGGTGCTTTCTCGTTGAATAAACACATCTAAACTGCTAAATAGTTACTGCTTTTGAGAAATAACTTTCCCAATAATAGTTCCCACCAAACAAACCCACCTCAGAGTTTCCATCTTGTCCTCATAAATGACAAGATGCTTAAAAGCATTTTGAAAGAAAATGTTGGTAACCATGATAACTGAAAGCATTTTGAAAGAAAAACATGGGCAGCAAGTAAGACAAAAGTCGCAACTACCAAATCCAAGTTTTCTTTTATTTTGACTTTGTTTTAATGCGTTTAAGGGAAATTTATTGAAATACTTATGAAAGATGAACTATTTGGTACTTTATGTTAATGTTTAGAAAAAGAGATGCATTTGGTTTAACCGTTTTTGGATGACAGTTAATATTATTTTGCTAGTTGTTTGGTACATATATTGTATTATATATTACTGTATAATATTATTTAATTTTTTAATTTATTTTAGGTAATTTCAACTGTTTTTAGTTATTTTTGGCAAAAAAACATATCATTTTCAATAAGTTACTTTGAATGAAATAAAAAACTGGTTAAATCCAACAAGTTCCAACTCATGACCATACGTCCTTCTATAGGTATTTTAAAATTAACTCAAACAAAATGGTTACAATGTTAAAATTGTTCATCTCACATGGATATTTCAAGAATTTTCTCTACATTTTGACCATCGCCTAGGGTGCCGGATCAAGAGCTTTTGCATTGGTGGAATTCAAAACCCATCCTTACTTCCTTGTTGCTAACAGATTAAACTAGCTGTGACTTTTTCATAAATTTCAAGCACTTAATAATGTTTAAAATGTCGAACTTGAACATGACACACCAGGGCCTGTGCCCATGTCCCCATGGTCGAACTGACGCGAGTTTGAATGAGACCGGGAAATTTTTTATTGGAAAAAATTTATATAAGGATGCAACGTAGAACTACGGATGCACCTCAAAAATCCATCGGAAAAAGTAGTTTTCATGTTGAAAAACCCTTTGATTGATCATCTCGACATTGAGATGTATGACCATGAAAAATAAAAAAGATTTTAAGTCTCAGAAATAGTGCATTTTACAACATATTATCTACACCGTCCATTTTCAAGATTTTCATATGTTTATAGATGTACTTGATTTTTAACCATTTTTTAAATTTTAAATTTTACAATTAGATATAAAAATAGATTTTGAGATAATCCTAAGAACATTTTACATCAAAATTATATACCATGATAAAATTTGAAGCTGCGCCTTACCTCTACCGCTACGGATGCATCCGTATGCCAACTGCACCCTTTTTTATTTGTAAAATTTAGAAACTAGGAAAAAAATGAGGAACGATTATATTTCGAAGATTTTTTCTGTTTAGAATCTCTTTGCTCATGATATAGGGACTTATGGTTTCACTAAGAATATAACCCTTAATAGAGTAGAATAGCATATTAAAATTCAAGTAGCTTACCCTAATTAATGGATAAAAGACTTTTATGATGATGACAATAATGAATCTCTTTGCTCAAGATTTGGGTTGTGTTGGTTGAGTTCAGAGTGAGTTACATGGTTTTTTAAAACATTGGTTAAGAAAAAGTTAGGATGTATCCTGAATAACTAACATCATAAAATTATTTACTTTTTATATAGAAAGTTCTTGAACACCCCAAATTGCTAGATGTGAAATTAGGTGGTTGAGACTGTACTATTGACTGCACTCAATATCCCAAAAAAAGTTTCTCAACATATATAAACGACATACCTTAATCGTTCAATTTTAAATTTGACGCCTTGGGGTGTTTGTGAGCTTTGTGAATGAAAGGTAACAAACATCATTGCATCGATCCCATGAGTAAATCCATGGGCGTAAATTTAGATCCCAAATTTTTGCATTTTCGTACCTTGAAGGTCGAGAACTGAGACGATGGGGCATCCATTCGAGGTCGCTTGGTAGCTGCCTCCATGATACATTTCTGGTTCTAACCCAAAAAAATAAAATAAAATGAAAATAAAAAAAAACAAAAGAAATTTAAAAAATTAGACCACTATAAGTACTAATGTGTTCACACTTTGACCCAATAAAAGTATACAATAAGACTATTATTTTTGATACAAAGAGGTCACAATTATCATTGACTGTTAGATTTAAAATCGAGTGGTTGAGGATGTGTCATCATTTAGATACAAAATCTAAATAAAACTTATCAAATGTTGTGACACACTTTCATCCATTAATGTTACATCCAATAGCTAAAATTGACTTTTTTGTACCAAAAACAAATGGTCACAGTATGGCATCCCTAATTATAAGGGCAAAATAGTAACTTATGTATATACCATCCTATAGCATGTTGATTGTAGAATTCAAAAGCTAGAAGGGATTGTTGTTTACTAAGGTCACAAACACTTGTAGCTGATAAATGTGAAATTAGTAAGAGCGCTTCACGAAGTTCCATAAAATCTTTTTCTAACTTTGAGGGCAGTCAATAGCATAACAGCAACCGTCCATTTTTAAATCAATGGGTAAAGATGGTTGTGGGCTTCATGAAGCAAAGGGGTCCTACTTTTGGCTTGAAAATATATTCTATATGAAATTATGAAATTTAAAATTCCAAAAATGATACAAGTAGATTTATAAACACTTGAAACTTTTCGAAATAGACGGTCCAGATAATTTGTTCCAAGATGTTCTATTTTTAGTATTTGCATTTTTTCTTTCATATGCATACATCTTGAGGTCAAGATGATCAAATTGAGAGGTTTTTCAACAATTGAATATTATCTATTAGAAGATTTTTAAGGTGCTCCTTGCTTCAACAATATAAGGCTGACAACTTATATAAAAGTTTTCCTCAATCTAATGCATATATATACCATATATATAAACATGTGTTTGGGATTTGTTCACTAAATTTAAAAAATTCATTCATTGATAATGTAATTCCAAAGTCTATGAGAATCAACCATTTTAAATTTCATTGTATTGTTTTACCTTCATTATTTTGATTTGCAAAGCATTTGAAAACCATACATTTCAGTAATCTTATTGAGAAGGGACTGGTTGGCAAACAATTACTATTATATTTTTAGTTGTATGGTATATATCTTGAATTATAAGTTATTATAAAATATTATTTAATTATTTAAATTTAGTAATATTACAAAAATCCTCTCAAAAGGAGACTTTTTAGACAACCTATCCCAACCAAGTTTTTTTTAGCAAGTTTTACCCCCAATTGAACTTTCATAGCAAATACTTCCAAGTGAAAAAAATCATTTTTGATGAAAAAGCCCATAGTATTGGACCACATGCTTTCCAAAAGCCCAAAGTGTCGGACCGCCCCCATTTTGTGTCGGACTGCCCCTATTTTGTGCCGGACCACTTCCATTTTGTGCTGGACTGCATGCTTTTCAGAAGGCATTTTGGTCTTCATTTTACTTTTTTTTTTACTTGAGAGGTATTTACTAGGAAAGTTAAATTTGAGGTAACACTTGATTGGGGGAAGTTGTCTAGAAAGTATGATTTTGAGAGGTTTTTTTAATTTTCAGCTATATTTAGTTGTTTTTGGCTAAAACCACATCATTTTCAATATAAGTTACTTTGAATAAAATAAAACAGCTTTTTAAAAGGATAAACTCAAGTGTAAGCTACTTCCAAATTTATCTCAGATAATTCATTACCTGGATTAAATTTATCTTAACTGGGACTTATCAGTTATAACAACATATCAAAACAAGTTGTAAAACTGCTAGTTTAGACATGGTTATTGCCTATCTCACTTATCTTAAACATGTTAGAAATAATACACAGCATTGCACTCTACCTTGTCAGAGTCAGCCGCTTCTTCCATCAATTTTCCGGCAACTTGGTCACCAGAAATTTGCCGGAAAAATTCATTTTCCTGCCGTTCACACCATAATGGAGTGTGATTAAAGAGAACTAATTGGTCACCATTTTGGTCTTGAGACATTGATGGAACATGCCCTTCTTCTTTTATGACTGGAAATAAAACCGGAATTTCACTTGAAAATGACCCATTTTGATTGACACTGGCTGGAAAAAATTGTAAATATGGTCTCAAGCTTAAACCTTCTTCTCTTGCTATGCTTCTTGAACTGCTATCCCTGAAAAATTTCAAACAAATAAGCACTGAATTTTCTTGTTAGAAAATAAAACAGGAAAAAAAGAGATTTTCTGTTAATTTAAATGAAGGTTTTCTAGAATTTATTAATGAGTAGATGGGGTATATTCATACTTACAAAAGTTGGTGTCCTGAAAATTCTAGCATCGAATCTGAGGAATTTGCCAGAAAATGAGAATTAATGAAACCCTTTTGTCTGTTTTCTATCTCTTCAAACAACGAAAAATTGCCGGAAATTAGTAACCCATCGCCGGAATTTCGTTTAATTTCCAGAAGATCCGATGCCCAATTGATCCGTTTATGAGGCTCAGGACTTGTTGTAGTCTCCGTATCTTCACCCATTTGAATATTTACTTTTAGTCTTACTTTTTTCTCTTTATCTGAACTTTATAGGTATCTAATTGGGATGATAATAGTGTGAATAAGCTTCTAAATCAGCCTTTGCAAATCTTTTGCTTGGCTTTTTTGAACCATCTTTTCTCAAAGTCTTTTTGTTTTCTGAAAAAGAAGCTTTGAGCGCTTATTCACTGTAATTTTTCTTCTTCTAAGAAGCTTTTGGGGATTGCTATTTTGCTTCTTCAATGAAGTTTTAGCTTATCGGACATTGAACCAGTCACCAATCCCTAGAGAACAACATCTAAATTCAGAAACGCATATCCACAAACCAAAAAAAAAAAAAAAGAGAAAATTAAAACTAAAAAAAAGCCTTTTAAGCTTTCTCAAGCCAATTCTGCATATCCTGACTTCATGATAATAGTTTGATTAGTTTCATTTCTTCTGCAACTCCCAATCTTTCTAGAGATTGCTTCATGGAAATAGCACACCAATAAATTTCAGTCTCTAAGGAAACCCTATCAATTGATGCTATTTTTGAAATCAATAAATTACCATTTCTGACTGTGAATAAAAGTACAAACTACAAACCGTGGAATATCCTCCTGAGCATTGATAAAGTAAGAAACCTTTATCCTTTCATCAAACTTTAAGAGCTTTTTAATGGCTAAGATGCACCAGACTGGTAAAACTTAAAAACTTTCATATAAAAAGATTGAAAGAATTATCGATTTGTTCTGTCACATTTAAATCCAATTCTAATAACTTACTTAGCTTTCGATCAACACAAAGTCAAAGCTCCATCAGTCTTTCCTTTCCGATAGGATCACTGAAGGATGGTGAGCTTGTTGCCATGGAAATCTTCAACATCGCTATGAAAATTCCAAAACCTTGACTCTTTTCATATTCATAGAAGCTTTTCTAGGGTTTCTTTTCTCTGCAAAATCCTTAGATGAACAACGTAAACGCCATCACAATGCAAAGCCTGACCTTTTATATATTTATATATATATATATATATACGTGTGGAGG